AGCCGACATGTGCGCCTCGGTCCGCCGATATTTTCCTGTTTGCGTAGAGCACAAAGCCATTTACTGGAAAGTTACATATTATGTAACACCGAAGTATTTCCACATCAACCATGCAAAACCCTTTAAAACCTTTATTATCATCGTAGGTGACGATGGAGAATAAATGTTCACCATCATATTCATCGCTTCAATCTTCACGTCCGCCATTTTTATGACTTTTTTTCAATTTGAAATTCTCTCGCACACCTTCGGTTATTACTAGGGTACACTGCCGTGAATATCGAAAGTAATAACAACCAATCAGAAGCCTTCTACTATACGCGTTCCGTGTTTGGTATAGCAACAACCCGACTTCACACTTCCTGGCTTACAGACCGAGAAACGACTATAGTCGTGCGTAGCACTGACGGCCCGACTTTTAAAAACGACTATTGTTGTGCGTAGCAGCCTAAGGGGTACACATTTGCATGATCAATCATGTGGCACCAGTCTATAAGCTAGTACCAGTATTTATAATCTGTACATACAATAAATTTGCAGTGAATTTGACACATATCTCATTTCCCCACCCCGTTAAAAATGATGTGATGATCGATTTAGAACCCTTTTGGGGGAAATTGGGGGAAAAAAATACATGAATTTTATAAATGTCCAATGGAACATAATAAATACCACAAACCCAAATTGGTGCATCATGTTTATTATTTGCAGTTTTTGTGAATTATCATTTGAAAGTTAGTGGAGATTGTGTTTTAGAAATTATCAACATTTTTAGTTTTGATGCTGAAACTCTATATCAATTAATTAAGAAAAATAGTTGAAAGATTTTATAAAGATCTATACATAGCATATGACATTCGTTTTACTGCCTGATAGGGGCCAACCGTTACAAAGGGCTGAGACACACCCTAACACATGATGTGGGTGTAGCGTTCATCATATACAATCGTACACATTCAAAGTACAGGAATATCCTTTTAATGTTAGTAATAGATGACTCACTACCAGAAAATTACTAACTTATAATTAGTTTCCTTGCTGCTATACAATGTAGATACAATGCTGACTACCTTGGTCCATTGGGTAAAGAGTGTTGTTAAATGGGTAATGACCGAGTGTTGTTAAATTCACAGGCTATGGCTCCAGCAGTCATTAACTTATCAAAATGTTCAAATGTCTAATTTTCTAAAACTTATACAATGTATCTCAAATCTTATAAACATAAAAAATGTTCATCGTTTTGTTTTGGTATTTACAATTAGCATGTAGATAATTATTCAAGGTCCTGACTCTTGGTTGCAATATGCACTTAACGAATTATGGAAAAAAACAAAGTTGTATTTAAAAAAGATAATATGAAACCAAGAGTACTTCCGACACCATTTTAAGGCACAGGAAATAAATTGACTTTATTAGGTTTGAAGTGTGGGAAATGACAACTAGGTTACTTTACTTGTAATACAATTTCTGAATCTCATAAGGAAGGATCGACGTTTAAAATTTGTGAATTTTCTGAGAATACAGTTGTATTTTCCAGTAATGAAGTGTTGATTTTTGACAAAATAAAACTTAGCTATCAGGTGGTAGACATGCTTGTCAGGTGGTAGACATGCCTGTCAGGTGGTAGACATGCCTGTGTGTGAGCTTGCCTAATAGGTATGCTTTTTAATTGTACAACCTAAATAAATCTGCACTAGTGCAGACTGGATAATAAACAAGAAAATGCAGCAAAGCTGCTGGACACCAAATCTGTTTATGATTATTACTTACTGACAGTCCAACAACCATGAGGGAAAGGATCCTGCATGCTTGTTTAATTATATATATATTGTTAATGGCATTACTTCTGTCGTTCAGAATATTCTGTTCACGCTCAATATCCTTACATTTTGCACTATTGTCACTCAATAATTTTCCCACAGCACATTTTAACCGCACTTTAAAATGTCAACGATTTGTTAATAACGTCATCCTCTGTGATAGAGAAGACACATAACATGATTTACATACATTATAAAATATAATTTGTACCTTTTTAAAATAATCACCGCATTTTTGCAAATATTTCTTTTGACAATGTACCTTTGGATAAAGGTAGCCCCCTTTGAACGATAGCTATATAACTTCTAGAGACTGCTACAAAGTCACATTTTGCCACAATCACATATTCGTTTGATACAAGTGAAAAAAATATATCGTATTTAATGGGAAACCCACGAACATTTCTGTTTGTTATATTTTTTTCACGTCACGCGACGCAAATATTGCATTATCAGAAAAGCGCGGGAATGTGTAACATATTTGTTAAGTTCTTATGACGTCACGCTTGACAACAATACAGAGCGCCATTTTGAATAGGGTTTCACTGCAATTTTGCTGTTTGCTGTTATTATCTGGTAAGATATTCAGACAAAAATGATATTGTTTAGTTATGTAAAAAAAAAATATTGTATGCTGCAAAGTTAGACAACACAACCACTTATTCTGCCGTCACTTCATCTAAACTTGAAACTGAAAATCTACGCAGAGAATAGAATGTACCGCTTAGATAGGACAATACTAAGAGTGACGTTTTCACATGTGAAAATATGATATTTCGTTTATCTTCGCTGCATTGAAGATATGTTTTTATTAATTGGAGAAGTTCACTAGTTAACTGTTATAAATACTGATACTGTAGCGTTTACCATCATATTTTTGTAGACAGTGTGCAGCCTCAATTTCCCAGAAGGCTTTCACGCATGGGGAAGCACCGGAAGTGGACAAAGTGTTTACAGATCAAACTCCAGTGGTGCAAAGCGCTTGGGGGTTTGAAAAAAAGGAAATAATGAAAAACCTCAGGAGTGTGGCACAGATCCCCAGCACAATTTCTTTTGATGTACTCAGGTACTCATATTTATTTCATACAATTACCGTACAAATATGTATACTTGTACAGTTATATCTGTTATTCTGTGCCATGACATTGCGTCGAAAACTGCATGTACCAAAGTATCAAATTTCTGCTCAGAGCATAGACATTAGTATTATTGTCCCAGTGAATCATTAGAATGAATTAAGTAAACTACTTATCAAATTGGTTAATTTTCATGACAAATGATATTAAACTAATATATCCAATCATTGTTCATGAAATTCAAGGCAATTCTTATGAGAATGCAAGGATAATATTTCACCCTCGTAAGGTTGGCTAATTTAATACACATTATTGAGGGCATATAGCCCATTGAATACTACAGCAAATAAACTGATATTTAACAAGTACATAATACTGGTAATTAATTATCACAGTGGGGTATATGTCAGTTTAATTTCAGAACCACCTCTCCACCTACAGCCAATCCTATATTATACATGGCCAGTGATTTTTCTTCCTCCACAGGAGCCTATGCCTTTTGATTTATGAAATGCAAAATATCATGATTTGGGGAAAAGATGTCAGTTTGCTTTGTATTTGGGAAATTACAGCTGACATTTTCTAGGGGAAAGAGCCTAATTTACCATAAAAAATCACTGATGACCCATTAAGTGCTCCATCCCTTATTAGCATATAACCATAGAATATTCATGTTTTATTACCTGTACCAAAGGGCTCCAATGAAAACAAAATTAGATGTTTCAAACTTTTTTGAGAGATTTCATGAATCCAAATTATCTTTCACAATATTCCGGTAACCATAGGTAGCAGAATACAGTAGAAATGACCTGACTCTGATAAACAAGGCACATGTCCAGGAAATGTAAACACAGCGGATTTACCCTACACAACACATCCTAAAACTACACAACTAATAAATTCTAAACTTATGGAATCCTTGGCGTTGATGCTCCATCCTTCATCAAGTTGTTACACAACACATGTATACATGTATGTATATTTGTAAACTGCATTACATTTACAATACATATAAGGTACTGAGAAGTGTACAAACCTCTTTTTCTATGTATGTCACTTGTGTGAAAACCATGGTTACCACATCAAAAATTACCAAAAAATGCAAAAAATCGCTATTTTTGACCCAAAATTTGGCCCCCGCAACTAGTATTTTTTTTCCTAAGTTCTGTCTGAAATTAAAGATTACCTACCAGGTTGCAGAATTATCTGGGTCCCAGTAAAGTTGTAAAACTTGATTTTTTGCAATTTTACGTCGTGTGCTGTTGTCAAAATTTTACGTCCTGTAAAGATAGCTTTTCATGTGTAGGCACCCTTTCAGATTATGGCCAAAATTTTATTCCCGAACCAAAAAAAATCTTCTTTTTTTTACAAATGTGAAGCTCACATAGCCCACTTCATCATGCTTATACCAATTTTAGTACAGTTTTATTTTTATATTTTTTTTTTACATATCATTATACAGGGGTTAGCCATTTAACAAAAATATCACCCATGTCCACAACCCTCTACTGTATACTGCTACCATATGATACAGAAAAAACATGGTAAGAAAACTGTAGCTGAAAATCAGTGATTTTGAAAGAAAAAAGAAATGGCAACATTTTTTTTTATCCAAGGTCTAATTTCCATGATAGTTAGAAAAAAAGCAATGCACCCAATCCTTCATCTCCTCAGGTGTTTTGCGCCTTCAATCCGGCTACAAAATAAACCTACCCTAGATTTTCAAATGAAATGTAGCAATACAATGTAGGTAAGATCATGTTGCCAAGAAGTTGACAGTGAGTAATACATGTATTGCAATTAACAATACCAGATATTATTATATCACAATGAAAAGACAAACCCCTTTTTTATCTGATTCTATGGTAAAGCAATCTCTGGACTGGTTTTTAAAAGCACAAAATAATTAAGGAAATCTGTAAAGAAAAATACTTCAAACTATACATATGTACACATTGTGATTAAAGCAACAGAATAACTACAGTATACAATTCACTGTATATATAAGGAAGTAAAATCCTGAACCTTATCATTATCATTCTTAACCTCAAATGTAATGTGCGCAGATCTAGAGCTGTATTTGATTTAGAGACTACCTGCTGACCGTTTTTGGTTGTCCAGTTTGTAACTACCCCGAGGGCCAGGTATAGGATCAGTTAGGCATCTGACAATCCTAGGACCACTTGTTAAATGTTTATACAAACACCTTCCTTGTTTGTCAACTTATAGAGCTCAGTAGCTCAAAGTCTTGTCACCTTAAGTTTTCAAAAAATGGTATATCAGAAAGTATTAGACTCATGCACCTACTCTCTCAAAATACAGTTGTTGTTGTTTTTTTTAAATATGGACATAGGATCTAAAAATAATGGAAGTCAGTTCCCAATTTTGAAAATATGTGATAGGGCCTACACGTCATTCCATACTATACAAGTTACAACATGTATATTATTGGACAGTTAAGATTTACTATATTTAAATATCACATTTTTGAAAATATTACGCATCATGTAAGTTATTGACAACATTTTAATTACAACTAACGGTTAGGCCTACAACGTAGTCCTGATTATGAGTAACGTTATGGTATAATGTCATCACACCGACTTGTATAAAACCATTCTACATATTAAAGCTAACTATGCTTTGACTACCCGGATCCTGGAGGCGACCACTGTCACAATGATATACTTGAGGTGTACTATACATGTGTATATAGCGGCTTATATTCATAGTTAAAGACAACCCGTTCATGTTAGGTTACAGAAGTGACAGTACGTAGTAGAAACTTAGAGAAGTTCTATGGTAAGTATGAATCTAATTCCGTGGTATGACAGTCCAAATAAACGCGCTTTAGATATGTTTAAGATAATAATGATACACACCTGCTGCCAAGCAAGAAAGATCAATGAAGATCCTAAGAACCGCAGAGCTGTCCATCTGCATGGTAAACTCATAATAACGTGACTGTCCGTGTGTGTATAATATACTGTACATGTAGGTATCACCCCGTATCGCCCACGGGTTTTTATAACCGGAAGTTAAGAGTTATTCCTCTTGTGTATTCGCTATTCTCTTGACTTATTCATTACAGTAATGTATTTAATTTCGACCGATCATTACTAGGGTTTTCCTACGATCAAGGTTAAGCTGAAAATGACTGATTCCTCTGACAGTAAATGTATATTTTGTAAGATAGCAGGAGGACAAGACAAGGCAACCGATATTTTATACGAGGTACGTACACGAGTTGTGTTCACATAGCAATGTAACTTAAATGATCCTACTGACAATGTTGAATTCCTGTCGGAAAACCGCTTGCAATAGCACTGAATTCGACTTGACTGTCCTCTCACAGACTGACAATTATCAGTTCATCTAGGCCTACTTCCCTTCCCCAGCCAACGGAACATGCAACTAATAATAATAGCGCTGCTGTACCCTAACTTACATACCCTACCACTCCTATCCCTCCCTGGGCGCTAGTCCTCCCAGTTCCTTTGCGTTACACCACATGGTCATGTACGTGCACGTGACACCCCTCCCCAACCTCCATCCAATTCCTCCTCCAACACCACGCACCCAAACACACACCCAATCGTTCCTTTCCATATTTGATGACGAGTTACGTGAGCAATGTGTCCCTTTATTACTTAGCAACTGTTCCTACATGTAGCCTACAATGATCTTCTAAGATACAACGTCAGTCCCTTTCCCCTTGAAAATTTAATCTGACTCCCCACCTTCATCTGCCTACGACCACCAGCTACCAACGACCCGCGTGCACTAGGTACTGGCCGCAGTGGTGTTTTCAAGAGGTAAAGCAGACAAAAACTGTCACCCCGATAAAATGCCAGCCACTCCCTACTGACTCGGTTAGGGAGAATTTCTCCTTAGCTCATTCGATGGTAGAGCGTCAGACTAGTAAAGCGGAGATCCCGGGTTCAAATCCTAGCGGAGGCATTGCAAAAAACAACGACCTTTGTTACATTGGCGCCCACAGTAGGGGCCCGGGTAATATTGACAAATACACTCAGCGATACTTTCACACGAATCGCTATGAGCCCTGGAAAACTCGGGACGAGTTCTTTGCTGGGGGAGTATGTCAGCCTGGTAAAATACTTGCCGCTTCCTACTGACTCTGCAAAGGAGAACTTCTCTTTCAATAGCTCATACAGAAGAGCGTAAGCTAAGTAAACCAGAGGTCCCTTGTTTGACTCCTGGCGGAAGCTTTGTAAAATAATGACCTCTGTTACATACATGGGCGCCAGTGTAGCAGATGTCATTAATTTTCAAACATATCCACTTAGAGTCGAACCCGGGACCTCTGGCTACTAGTCTTGCGCTCTACTGAATGAGCTAATGAGAGTCTCCCTAGCCGAGTCGGTAGGAAGCGGCTAGTATTTTACCAGGGTTATAAACATCCGATTTACTCCATGTAGTGACCGTAAATCAATTTACCACAATAATTGAGGAAAACCGCTCATTAGAAAATTGTATACGAAAGATATCGACCCAGTTGCCTTATATATAGATGATAGGGTTACAATTTTAGTTGTGTCTTGAAAAAAACCATACAGATTATGTGTATGATTTTTTTTTAAATTATGTTGTCTTTTTTCGATCATTAATCCTAGATTTAATCACTTGTATACAGACTATAAGACTGATGTTTAAATGAGTATCCCAGTATACCGCGGATTTAGCTGATGTTTAAATGAGTATCACAGTATACCACGGAATTAGCTGATGTTTAAATGAGTATCACAGTATACCACGGATTTAGCTGATGTTTTAAATGAGTATCCCAGTATACCGCGGAATTAGCTATCTAAGTCCGTGAGTACACCTACTTCACTGAGACATGCAACTCAACACTTATCCTTGTACTGTAACTGTCTACATACATAATTGTTTCTAATCTCAGACGTATTTCATAGCAAATCCAGTAGTAAAATCACGGACTTAGATAACATTCTGTGGTAAAATATAGAGAATACTCACATAGATACAGGCATGTCAACCCATATTTAGGCACAGGATTGCAACGTCCAAGTCGCAAAGAGATATCATTTTTTGTTGTTTCTATAGAATAGAAAACAAAGTGACCTGGAAGTCACTATTTGTTAAACCATCAACAGTTTGTCAACTGCTGTTGTGGTCAGTCTTATAGTTGTTGTATAAGTCCAGTAATACATGTATCAATAAAACCACAATTGTGTCTGAAGTTGACGCCTTCTCATCCGGTAACATCCCCTAAATCCCTATCAGATGAGGTAAGTAACACCTATATGTATATAAAAGAGTCCGGGTGGCCTGCACTGAACACAATACCTATTCCCCAGCTATTGACGCCGTGAATATATTTGCAGGTTTGAATGTGTTGGGTACCTTTTTGTTCACTGGACTATCTTACACAAAATCTATCACGAAACACATCCTTGTTCATCCTCGAAATGTTCGACGGTTTTGTACGTTCAGAACGTTAGCCAGATAATCCCATGATCCAGGATAGACCTTATTGTGGCTATAGAGAACTAGATTGTGACTGTAGAGAACGACTCCCTTACCTGTCGACAGTCGTTTGGAATGTAGTTAAGAACCGTCTTGATGAATAATCAATAATTGATGAAATTGATTATTCAAACACATCGTGCATATGCTTGCTATCTGTTCAGCGTACAATAAAGAAATGTTAGACAGCATTTTCCATTTGCTTGGAATTTGCTGTAGACCTGAACGCTTAAGATGGGCTTGCTATGTTATCATATTGTAAGCCAATCCAACAGCACCAGAGTGCACGCCATGTTTCAATACATGTGTCCCAAAAACTACCGAATGACAACAGTACTAGTGTGGAGTAGATGGACGGGATGCAACATAAAGCATGGTGATGCTATGTGGAAAGGATAGGAAATAAATGATCAGTCAATAAAACTCTTACCAAAAGTTCAAGTGACACCCAGAACATTGAGTAAAATAAAATGTTTATTTACAGTACTTTAGATATAACATTAACTATGCCGAACAATTATAGTTAAATACATTTTGTTTATTTGAGTTTCTCATAAAATATAGAAAATCGGTAGATATAATTATAATTATACAAATCTTCATATATGTAAGATGTACAGTATGTGCTTGAAAACGATGGTTATCTTTCAGAATGAAGAGCTCGTTATATTCAAAGATATCAAACCAGCTACTCGCCACCACTACCTCATTGTCCCAAAACACCACATAAAGGATCCCAGGAGTCTGAACTACAGTCATCTGCCGTTGGGTAAGCAACGAAGAAATATATCTTATATAAACAACAAGCCGACGAAGTTTTATCGTTATTGGTAATCGATGAATTTATTATGCTTCTGGATATTATACAGTCCGTTTGAACTTTTCCGGATGTTGTTTGCGTAAGAATACCTCCACTGCAAAGCTGAAATCGATAAATCGTGCATGTGAATCTAAATGACAATTTCCTAAAAATAATCACGAACTATTTACAATTATGATTGCAATTCCTACTATAAACATATCTCTGTGATAGACTTCAATAAGTATTTCATTGCATTTTCTTTCGTATTTAGTTCGTTTAATAGGAGCCACAAGTAAGAAATATCTAATAACCCAAGTTATTGCCAAAAATATACCTGGCGGTATATAGTGAAAATAACTCTTCCATTTGTTTAGCAAGAGTTACTTCCCTTGTAACAGTCCGTCTTTACATCATAAATCGGTAACAAGATATGTGTTTCTTTCAGTGGAAAGACTGGTAGAAGCTGGTAATGACTTCCTGAAACAACAAAACGGAGATATTAATAAAGCCAGGTATATTTCTATTAACTGTATTTATTATACACAAATTTAGTAGTTTAATTTGTCATATTAATAACTTATTTCAAGGTTCCAATTATAACATTCTTCAAGTGTGTTGATATACTTTTTTTGGAAATTTGAACTTGTAGTGAAATGGCATAAAGCATTCCTTAAAGAGAACGCATTCCTTAAAAGAGATCAATTTTCCGGTAAAGTGGTTGACCTTTTTCGGGACCATCATTCGTTAGCCTGTCAAACATGCAAAGACATGGAAGACGTTTACTGTATTTGATGGTTGCAGATTCGGTTTCCACTGGCCACCTTTCACCAGCGTGAACCACCTCCACTTACACGTGATAAGTCCAACATCAGAAATGGGATTTATAGCACGATGTGTTTTTAGGCCAAATACGTTATGGTTTGTTACCGTAAGTATATATATATATGTATGTGAAGAATCTCCTAGAAGAGATGAAAGTACTAAAGACTTGTTGTTGAGACTTTTTCTTTTTATAATACTTCTTCGTCCGTAAGGATCATTTTTCTGCTTTTATAATATATATATATATATATATATAAAGTAGATAATAAATAAATAAGTCCTTGCGAAGGAAAATATAGAATAAAAACATTAATCTTTCAGATCGTCCGTTTTTATATATATTTTTATATAATCTGCAGCTACAAGTAAGTTTCTTGGGGAAGAATTTTCCGGAAATAATAGGCCTGCGAGTGAAATTTCAAGAGTCGATTAATGTAGTTCCCTACTGAGTTAAGGTTTTCTTCTATGTCTGGGTTGGTGTTGGCGGTCATTTATGAAACGAAAATTGATCCGCCGCGCTATTGCAACAGCGGAGTTCTTTATCTGTGATCACTTACCTATTGCTTGTTTTCGACATTGTCTTACAAACCATCTCAGTATGACCTTAGCTGCTGTTAAACTCCAAACAAACAAGCAGTGACAAACATCTTGCCCGTATTCACGAAACCGTTCTCATACTCAAACATGAAGTTTGTGCTTAAGCCTTTATTTTTGTTTTGTTTATAAATTATCAATAAAATTTTATTTTGTCAATGATTTGAGGGGGAAATCAGAATACTTCAAGCCAAATACTGTTTTCAGTGTTTAAATCGTTTGACATGTTTAAGTGAGTAACAAGATAATTAGTTTGAGCACAAAATCCATGCTTGAGCATGAGAACGGTTTCATGAATATGGGTTTAATGTAGACTTTTTAGGACGGACAAATGCTATATATATTTATAATGTAACGATAGACAGGTGGTCTGATATATTGGTTACAACAAAAGACAGGTGTTTCTACATGTGTATACATATAGAGAGAGGTTATAAGGATTGACAGGTATTTCAGTATATAATTATGTACATGGAGTTAGTAACTAAAGCCAGGTATTTCTGTACATAGGTGGTAAATATAGACAGGTGATATCAAGTTTGTAAAATGAACATGTGGACTAAGTATGGTTTATGGTGATAGACAGGTGGTCTTTATAGTGTGGTAGACGGATGGTTTCTATATAGTTTATGATGAGTAAATACATCTATAGGTTGAAATGATTGACATGTGTGTGTGTATATATGTTGTTAATGATAGGTAACTGATCTCTATAGACGTAATCTGTGCTTGATGTGTACTTAACAGTTCTACAGAGACGTGCCTACACTAGTATGTAGACTGAGTTAGACAACCGTGGGGTCATTCATCCTTTTATACAATAAAACTGATGTTTCTGGAAGATTCTGATTGATTTATACAGCAAATTATTTGAATTGATATATAATGGTGTTTTATATCCTGATATGTATGTTAGGGTGAGTGGCGTTATTCCTACAGACGTGGGAGTGTCTGTGTGGGAGTGTCCATACGGAATGTGGTAGATCAGTCTATTTACATTGAATAATTTATCATACGTTTGTTACAAGGCAGTTAACCACCACAACACACACACACACACACACACACACACACTCCCCTTCATGAGAAAACAAATCACATGTTTAATCACGTGGTTTAATCATGAAGCGTCGACTTATTACTTTGTAAACTTCTCTTTAATGACTTTATTAATACTTTTTAAGAAACACTATATTGAATACGCTGTTTCCTGCCATTGTTTCCTGTGGGTATTAGGATCATACATTCATACGTACTGGGGTGGATGCTGCGGTATCTGTGCAGTAGCATTCAAGTGAGGTGGCACTATAAATTATGCCGTTGGAAACACGGTCCTACTATAAACAGAACACACATTACATCTCCAGCACACACGCAGGTATTCACACATAGGGAGATATTAGCCAGGTGGCATAGGACTAGTAGTTATCGCCTGATAAGGCAGCTCCTGCGAATTCCTCAAAATTGTATTGATTAATGTATATGTACTAATTGTATTAATTACATATCTATGTACTGTAAAGCGCTTTAGAGTGGCTTATGCAAGCTAGATAGGGCACTATATTAAATGCTGTATATTGATATTACATGTATAGCTGTAGAGAATGAATAAAAACATCTGACAACTTACACGCGGTAGGCGAACGATGATCGTTTCTAAAGGAGTAACTCGTCAGCAGATACAAATTTGTGTTTTCGTAGACAATTCTTGATTTGGAAAATAAATTAAAATCGTAAAACTTTCTGAACAATATACATGGATAATTTTCTAATTCTTATTTAAATGGTACCGAGCACACCTGTTTAAGTAAGAATATAACATAGGACAGCCTCCCTTTATAACGACAATGTTTAGGTTGATCACATGGTGGTGGTATAACCTGGTCTGGTTGTATTTTTACGGCATTTCAGTAAATGTTTTGTCGTGGTATGTGACACACAACCCAACATAGACACATTCAACCATATATATATAGTTAAATATAATATCGATGGTACAGTGGTACAGAGACCTTTTCAGTTTGAAAAAATATCCACAAAATGTGTGGGCATTTCAAGTAGGGTTATCTCCCTCTAGTCGCTTCTGTGCTGTATTTATGATCCATATATATGACATTTCGTTCGTTGTTTCGTGTTATTAAGGGGTCGAATTAACTCCACCGACCTAGCAATCTCCGAGTTTCGTTTTTTTTTTTACATGAGACTATTCCACATAGGAGCTGACGTCGTACACCACCCCCGCCGAAAAACAGGAAGCCGTTCACGACCATATACTTTGGTCATTGATAATAGACTTGTTATACACTGTTATGCCTTCTGTCGGTATAGATCATAATGTCGTACAAACAAATTCACAAAAATGTTCGTCATTTCAGCATTTTATATACTCAAATGACGAACTTTTTTAGCGGTTTTTTTTAATATATTATATTAGAATTATAAATGCAATGAAACAGCAGTCGTCTCCATAATCCATTGAGCTGATGTTCGAATTGCACTCTGTCTATGGTACTGTTCTGGATTAACTTAAACCTATATCATGTTTGGAGCAAGTGACCATCTTACTCTTGCGTGTGTATACAAAGAATTATGCTGCGTTTCGTGAAGTTTTTACTGAGAACATAATTATACGAATATCTCAAACAAATAGTTTTCGTTTGTAAATAGTTTGTTTTCAGTGTTTACTTCCTAGGCAGTAAAATAGGATATTTTGTAATGTCGAGACTTATCAAATTCTGAAAATCATTATTATAGTCCCATCAGTACTACTGACTGGATGGGATTATATGTATACGTCTGTCCCTCCGTGCGTCACTTTGTCCGGAGCATATCTCGTACTGTTAAATGGATCTGCAATTCCAAAATTTGTAAGTGGACGTCTATTTAAAGACGGATTGGTACAACAGTCGGTGTGTAAGACGCTAATGTAAACATGAATGAAAGAGTATACAACATCAAATGAGTCAAATGGCGACCAATTGCAATCCCCTCCGGTGGGAAGACAACAAGGCGGGCCACAGGGATCCATACCTGGCAGAGCTTCAATTTCATTGCTTGGAAATAAATTATTAAAACCGATATCGGGTCCCGTACTCCACTATGCATTTTCTACATTGAAAAAAGCACATTTGATAACAATTTTGACATATTTAATCTCGTTCCTATTTTATTTGATTTTATGAAATTAGCTGCACCATGAACAATATATTCAGTTGTAATGCGAACGGGTTTTTTTCGTCGTACACTCAACCAAATTACGTTCAATAAGCACATTTTATGATTTTTTACCAAATAATGAATAAATAAAGCAAAACACCACGTAATTTGCAATTGCTATTAATTTGTGATATCATTGTAATGTTCTTGGTGAATTCACAAGATATGATATATCTACAACTAATCCGTAGGTGTTATTACACAGTTTAAGCATTCTATATATGTCATATTTTCACGGAATTAGACCTAACAAAATCCGTGATAACCGACATCTAATGGTTTACTATGCCTGTCTGTGATGTAATCACTTAGTGTTGTACATCGACGTCATCCAATGTAACACCTGTCACGGATTTCACCACTTCGGGGCAGATATTCTGGACTAAAGTGCATTGAACAATTACATATTTGTTTATATACATCATTAAGCACAAACGTCTGTTGTTTAGATCCCCGCTTCCATTCTTGGTTGAAACAGGAGAAAAAACTTCCTTTAACTCTGAACGATTCCCTCTTCGAGTGTTGTTCCCAGACTGTGTCCGTGGTAAACTTTCTCAGACTCGTCCATCTCATATTATCTCCATTTTTACTGTCAGCTACGATTTCATTTCGATAACTTGTGCTACGGAGTCATGCGGCGATGCAGAGCTTTTAATTTCAAAGGAAGGAATCTATCGTCTTACTAATTTACATAGCGACAAATAGCAGATGTATAATGGTAAGTACTGTCGTCCGAAATGGAAGGACTGAGAAATTGAATCTTTCCAGCAAAAGCTGCTTTATTTATCAAAACTGTGAGTATCCTCTACACAGGGAAATGCCGCCCAGTCTAATATTCGCCCTTCAGGGATCTAGTTCATATTGACCCAGGGAATATTTCAGTGTATAAAAGGGCTTTTGTAAAATATGTTAATGACTCTTAACACTTTCACCGACTATTTCCCTCACAGATCATCTTTTAGCCGGTTGTTTCCCTGGCAGATATTTAAAATTTCCTGATTAACAAAACGTAAACCTTCGAAATGTCTTATATTAACTTACTTTGTACACCAAACACCTGTATAGTAGTACTTGGATTCCTTGTCACGAGGAAGATTTCTCAAATTCTGAATTACAGGGATTCATCGTTGAAAGGGTTCAAAGCTCGTATACTACATATTGTATATGATCAACATTCGTTAGACAGGAATGCCCAATCCTACACAGACAAGCTCGCCTTTACCGCGCAGATGAGTGAACAAAAGTGCTGACATTGCCGGAATAATATATCGGGATAATTTGATGTGTACAGTTCCG